GGATGTTTACGCAGTGGGACAGGTCTCGTATTACCCCATGTCCCTGTTAATATGCAGTAGTGATGTGTCCTGTTCATCCAAAAGTTCTTGAGATGCGAATACTAAAGATGCAAGTCAGCTAAAATGACTTCATGGTCCAGGGACCACGAAGTGTCAGCCACACTCAGATGTGACCATTGCAGACAGCACACGTGTTGCCACAGGAGCTCAGTGACAGGACTTCAGAAGCCAAGCTGCCAGCCTTGTGGTTCAATTACTCAATAATGCTCCCTCCTATAAGCTCCTAAAAAAAGAAAACATAGGAAAATGTAGAGATCTCAGTAGAACATGATAAGGTTCTGGAACAAGTTGTTCTCCCCTACTGTTGCCTCTTTGCCAAAATGCCTGAGGGCTCTCTCACCTTGCTGCGTATGCTGTCACTTCTTTCTAAACTTGTTAGGGACAAGTCCTAGTGATGCAGTTTCCTATTATTCACCTCCCTTCCTTCTAAGTGCTAGTCTGGTTTGCAGGGGTTGAAGCAAAAAGATATAAACAAGAGCAGCGTTCACAACAAATACACTTGCCTCCAACACAGTAGGCACAACATTTAGTTCTATTTTGGCTACGGTAAAAAAGCACGCACTTAGTGGATTCCATTGAAATACTTGTTATAGGTGCAATTGACTTCACCTGCGTGCCAAAAGTGAGTTTGCACACCCTCAGCTTCCTCTTTCTCTCATCTCCTTCCCAAACAACTTCACAAGAATTTCAAACAAGAAAAGTTGGCAACTTGTTGAAAGAACACAAAGACCTTGCCCTTGCTAGCCAGAGAAACAGCGCTGATACCTGTCGGTCAAGAACTTGTGGCTTTTCAGTTTGCATGTTTCTTCCTAACACTATTTATCCAAGTAGCACAGATGGGGTGTATCATTTGGAAAGCTTATCCCTAAACTTTTTACAACAAAGATAGCAGGTGCAAGATAAGTGATACATACAAAAACAAGAGTTCATTACAAATACATTTGCATCCAAAGCAGCAGAAGGATTTGGCTCTACTTTACCTTAAAAGCATACCCTTTGTGAATTCCATTCAAATACTCAATGTATTTGCATCTGATATTGTATGCGTGTCACCCCAGGCAACAACACGGAACCAAATGTTTGCGTGGGCCCGTGCTTCTGTGCAAGGGTAGCCAGATAAGTCATCCCTTCTCATGACAGTACAGAGGTTTTAGGATGGCTCTTGAAAACCTAGCGACAAAATTCTGAAGAGCACATTGTCCCCACAAAGAGCAGGATTTTCAAAAGAACTTGTTAGATTAATAATGAAGGCTTCTTAATTCTGAAGGTCTTATTTTGATGCCAAAGTGGAAGCTGGGCAGTTAAGATGCACTAAGCCCTTGAAAACTTGGCCCCAAGTTCTGCTTCTGCCTGTTTATGTGTTCAAATAACATGGTACAGCTGTTGAGAGGTTCCTGGTCAGAGAGGGTCTGTCAGTACCCTACAAGCAGTAGGGACACGAAAGTCAATTAGCATGACCCGAGTGCTGAAGCTATGTCCTTATTCTGAATTACTCTCTGCAGAAGTCCTGTTTTCATTCACGGACTAAAAACTGGTAAGAGACTATCCCAACAAACAACAGATATCAAAAGGTATCATGCAACAAAAGTTGCATGACCTGAATATCCACTGTTTCACTCACAAGTCTGCAGTCTGAATCAGGAGCAATTCAAAGTTGGTAATATATGGCCTTTACTTGATGGTATACATAAAGTGTATCAACAGATCCATCCGCTCCATGGGAGTAAAACTGAATCTTGGGTAAAATGCAGGAGACTTGAGAATATCAAATGAGCAGCAATTCCTATCGAGTGCAGTGGAGTATGCCCACGGGTGGGAAAGGTGCCAATGGACAAGGAAAAATTGCTGCTTCCTTTCACTCTGAAGGACAGTCGGTCCAGCTCAATCCTGCAGCACACAGCCAAGGAAGCACGCAGTGGTCCTCATCCTCCATAGATCACTGAGACCTTTGTTTCCCACTGCTGTTAGCATAGTACCTTTTACAACCTTTATTTGTTCTCGAGACTGGGGAATGAAAGAGCACAATAGTAGCAAGAAATAAATGAAAGTTTACCAGCAATTTATCTACAGACAAACCTACAAAAACCAAACAAATGCAGCAGCAACAAAGATGAAACCCCTTCACTGCAACATCCTTTTGGAACTTTCCATCTACTTTGTAATTAAAGACTTAAATGTTTAGACCATGGAAAATGGGAAAACTGTGTTTTAAAGTGGCCCAGTGCTTGTTACCACATGCATGAATGTATTATTCTGTGGCCAGGACTGAAATGACTTCAGTTAGACATGTTTTCTTAGTGTACTCCTTCAAACAAAGATTTTAGTTGAATATTTTTAGTAGTCCAGGTAAAAATAACTGCATACGTCTGTTTGCTGTGGCATGGAACTGGACAGGAAACACTATTGTTACTACACACAGATTTTTCCTTAACTGTGATACTGGAATGAATCCAGGATTATTCAGAAGATGAAAATGAGAGAGAGGGAAAATATAATCTTGTCCATGTGAGTGCAGAGAACAGAACTGTCAGATCACTGTTTATTATTTCTGTTCTCATTGCTACAGACAAGGCATCCCAGTGCCAGCCTCCCATATCCTAGTGAACACTTCAGCCTCCGGTCATTGGATATTCTGAAGCAGGTCTCTCTCTCACATGTTCTCCTCTGCATGAAGACTTTTTTTGGTACAAGAACATGAATATAGGTAGAGCTCCTAAACTTCACCTTCCGACCATCATGGGACAACTGAGGGTCTGTTTTTCTCATTTATATGTTGACAAATAATACCTGGATGTTCTTTCAACAAGGGTCAGCAATAACTGATTGTTATTTCCTGACACAAAACTTATTTTTTTTTCCAGAAATTCCAGGTTTGAGCAATAACTGAATTATCTCTACCTAAACCAGCCATTGCTGTCACCAGTATTTCTGCCCAAGGATTTCAGAGTTTTATCTAAGGAGTCAGCATGACAAAATACTTTGGTGAGAACTACGCATCTGAGAGACAGGCAATCATCTTTCAGCTTCTGAGAGAAACATTGAAAAGGTGATGAAATGTGCTCTTTAACACAATAAGATTGTTGAAAAAAAAGTTTGCAGGCAACCCTTACTAAGCTTAAATTTTCATATGCAGTGTTAAAATCTCACTAAAACATTAAGCCACATCATTACCCTCGCTGCAGTGGCGGCGCAAAAGGCTAACTTACTAGAATCTATACAGACTCGAAGAAGCTTTTCAGTAACTATACGTGACACGTGAACTACTTGTTTAAAGAAAATAAAATTGTAATTTAATGAGAACAGTAAAGGTACAGAAGAAACAGCCCACCAAGAAAGAGGTTGGGATTATTGTTTTTTTATATGACACCTGGTTTATTCTTTTCTTACTAAGGGTTTAAATCAGTTTAGCACCATTTTGGTCCATTCAGAGATTAACAAAAGTTAATATTTTATAAGATTTATTTATAATACCCTTGAGGTTTATAGTATGTTTATGTAACCCTTCTGCCAGGAATTGGCAGCAGCTGAAAGAGCTGGATTAATTTATCTAGGGGTTCTCTCTGAAAACTTAAATAACAGCAGTTTCAGCCTCCACCCAAAGCTAAATGACCTCCTTTGGGTGCCCTGACAAACAATAAATCCTTCTCAAGGCATAGCAAGGGTTTAAAACAAGGTCCAGAGTTTCAAGACAAAGAGAACTTTAGAGATGAGGGAAAGGGAAGAAAAAAGGCTCAGGATAAACCCACAAGAGCCTCTAATCAATAAAATAAATAATGCTTAAGTGAGATCCCTAACCACCCTCTCCTCCTCGACCGTGACATAAAATAAAGGTTTGCTCCCATTTCAAAACAGATGCCTTGTCACTTGAACGTCACTGCCCACTCAAAACTCTCCCCATATTTACTGCGTGGCTTCACTTTACAGCTGAGCTAATGAACTGATGTATTACTGTCCACAACTGGGGACACCCTACCCTCTCTCCAGCCCACAGCCCCTTCCTTGTGCTGACACCCTGTGCTGGCACTGATGCTCGGCTGACCATGCTCTGAACTGATTCAAGCCACCAAAGTGTCAGAAAACAAACCCAGGAAAATCAAAAGCAAGGCATGGATGGGATTCTGCTGGTTTAACTCCCCTAATCAACTCACTGTACTATAAAATTAAGGTCAAAGCTGGCACCAGGGAAGACGATGGTAAGGCTGGGGATTGAATTTCCTTTCCAGCTGGACTGCTGGTGCTTCTAGTAATAAATGGGTTGGGGATATTTACTAATAGTTTGGGCTGGCATAGTTTTAGGATGAAATTGCTCTTAAGCATGGTGGCACTTCAGTATGAATTTGCTGGCTTATCCCCACGTAGGGCAAACTTCGAGGTAACACAGCTACTCTGTCTGTGACTACAGGACTAACAGGACCATCCCGTCTCTAAATAACCTCCAGCCAGCCTGCACGGTACAGGCCCCTCTCCCAGTCAAGAGGAAGAAACAGGCCCTCCGTTGCAAAACTTAACACACTTTACCGAGGACTGTGCCCTGGGGTCAGCGCTGATGACCAGGCAGAACTGCTCCGCTCCGCTCCCTCCTACAGCAAACCGGCCCTGAGGCTTTTCCCCAGTGCCACAGCCGCTCCCGTACAGTACGTCTCCTGTGCCACGCTGCCCATAGCCAGGAGATTTTTACAATTCAGATTCCTCAGGCTTTTGGGGGCTCCCGGTTTAAAAACCCAAGTGCCTGGTTTCCCGGGGAGAGGAGCAATTCACCTGGAACCACCAGTGCCCGCCTCGGGAGCCGGGGGAAACTGAGGCAAGGGCGCCACGGCAGACGCCATTTGCGGGACAACAAAAGGCCGCTCGGCCGACACTGCTCGTTCTCGGGTGCCACCTACCGGTGCTTCCCCCGTTAAATATTTCCACCGGGCCGGGAAGACTGAGGGGAGGGGGTGGAGCGGCGGGTAGCATGGCGGCCGCCGCCATGGCGCGGGGCGGGCTGCGGCGTAGGCCCAGCTGCCGCATGGCCGGGGCGGCGGGCGCCGGGCTCCCGTGGCCGGGGGTCGGCGGCGGGAGGGCGGCGGCGGCGGGGGGCTGGAGCCGCCCGGCTCCCGGAGGAGAGGTGCAGTACTGCGCCGAGCTGGTGCGGTGAGTGCCCGGGGAGCGGCGGGGGGGAGGCCTGGAGACGCGTGGGTTTCCCTCCCCGCAGAGGAAGGCGGCGAGAGCCTGCCCGACAGCGGCTTGCGGGAGAGGCTGCCGAGTTCCCCCGGAAAGGTGACCAGGGATTTCCCCCCCGCTGCCCGGTTCGCCAAAATAATCCCTGCGGCCCTGAAGTGAAGGGGCCGGTGGATGGGGTTGCTCGCGGCGTCGACCCGCGGAAACTAGAGGGATGTTTCAGCTACGTGTATGATTTAACCTGCAAACGGCAGTCTTTCTCCCCCCTTCTTTCACAGCTGCTCTTCTTGTGAAATATTGAATGTTTCCATTTTATTGTCTCGGCTTTTTTGGAGAGAAAAATCACTGAAGTAGATGTTTAAAAATAGGTGTTTTCAGATCTTGGCTACTGGGAAATAGCCAAGCTTCCCAAGTACTCCTTGGAAAAATGAGCAAAAGTAGAGGAAGTCCGACAGCTGGACAGACAGCCCAGATACCTTCTCTGACCTGAATGCAGGAGGGGGAGGAAGTCTATGTTTTCAAAAGCATCCATTTTGGGTTAAATCCAAAATGCTCCAAGAGGAGCAGGAGTGCAGTTCAGACACTTCCAGGCCTGGCAAAGTTTCCTCCTTGGCGTCTGGGCCATAAACAACGTGCAAGGTCCCTTAGCTTCTTTCTAGTCCACAAAAGTTCAGAAATAAAAGATCAAGTAAGTCTGTCTGTAAAGACTTAACTGATTTATCTTTGGGTACAGTTGTTCTAGCTGGTTGACAAAACCAGGGAGGAGGCTTCAAGGCACGTATAGAAAGAGTGGAACAGGATCATCTTCTCCAAACTCATGCTTGTAAAAGATATAAGGGTGTGCGGTCAGCAGTCGTGTTTGAAGTAGGAAACTAATGGAAAGAAATGTGTCAATCTTAAATTTTCTGTGCAGCACCAAGCAGCAGACCTTTACTGATGTATCAGAATTCATACCCAGGCTGCATTTTACTTAAATGAGCTTTGTTTTCCTGGTTAGTCTACCCAGGATTTGTTTACCTGTTACTCAGGAGATGAGAGGCTGTGTGTACAGTTAATATACAGATAAAGTCAACATATACATGTAAAATGTTCTCAGTAATGAACAACTGTGGACAGAGCAGTTAGGTTCCAAGGCACAGAAGCGGAGATGCTTGAATTTAAACTTTTTTTTTGTTGTTGTTATTTTTGTTAAACCATAAGGAGGACTACTTATAAAAATACACAAGTATTCAAAATAATAAAATAAAAAATGGTTATGCTTTTGGCATCATTTGATTGAAGCTCCTGTTCACAGTTGCTCATGTATTACATGGAAATCATAAGAGGAAGAAATTACTGTTCAGGTAGAGATAAAACACATGAGGCTGTGCAAGCATTGGTAACTCCCAAGTCCTGAGTTTGAGTGTTCTACGTATTAGGAAGTACAACTCAATTCTGCTTCGCTGATGTAGATTTGTGCAACTTTTTGTAATATGCAAGATATCCTTTCTCTTGGATTTTTCTTTTTCTGTTAAACAACTGTTTTACAAGTAGCTTTAAGGTGTTTGATTAAAAATACATTTTCCATAGTAGGTATCTTTTCTGTCTCTTGCTGTTTATGATGTCTGCTCTAGAAGACAAGCTTGTGGCTTGATGGGATTATGGAGTTTTATAATGTGAAAGAAATGCATTATACTGAAGGTCCAGTAATGATCATAGCCAACTTTTCTTCTTTCTGTGGGTTTATATGTAAGTTTATACTTATCTGAGAGGGAAACTGTGAAAACAGCCAGACTTAAGGTCATTCTCTCCTTCCTTCATTCCTTACACTAATATACAAGGAGAGTTGGGGTTGAACATGATTTATAGCAATATCAATTTTATTTTACAGGCTGAGGCTTAATGGATTTCATTTTCTACTGTTATGGCCAAGGGCACACTGTCAGCATAATACTCAAATTTTTTCTGATTTTTTTCTTATCTGGTCTTTGCTACACTTAATTTTTAAGCTTAGAATAATTGAAAAAAGCCCAGCCAACACGCCAACACCATTAGTAGAGGGAAGACAATTTTCTCTATTGTGCTGCTGTATACTTTGTGTAATGTGTTCCTTTTTTTCCTTTTTGGAGGTAGAGGTGGTTCTGTGTTTTGTGAACAACCCAGGCAAACTGCATAGCTGGAACTGGGAAAATGTGGCTGTAAACCTTGCAGCTCTGCTCATGGTGGGCAGTACTGGGTATTACTACAGTCAGCCTTGAAAAAAATACTGGGTTTTGAGCTGATAATACTTTTCAGAAAGTGTCTTAATTGAGGGAGGTTTTTGATGCATCTGTTCTTTAATATGAAGGTGACAAAGCCTGCTAAAATTCAAAAATTATTTTTTTTTTGTTGACGCTTCTGGATTTGCATCAAGCTCTAAAACAAGTTTCACAACTGCTGTGAAAACTCTAAGCATTGGCTAGTTATCAGCTTCTGTGTATTGTAGAGGTAAGAACGTCTGTTAAATCTCACTTCCTTTTTGTTTGATGCTAAAAGGAGCAACCCTAATAACCCTTGGTTTTAGTTTGGCTTTGCTTTTTTAGCTCACATTCAAAAGAAATATGAATACATCTAAGAACAGCAGACTTTGTGAAAATGAGTAAATATGTTTTCTTTGACACCTGCTTCTCCACTCTTGAGGTAAAACTTGAAGTTGCTGGTCATCTTCTAATGAAGAATCAGGTTACAGTCTTATCAGAAAGTACACAAAAATGTTCAAAACAAGCAGTTTAGCTTTTCAGAGCTGACCAGGTGTTTTTGTTAGCTTCAGTTATGTATGATATTGCAATTTATGATTCTGTGCACTGTGATTGTTTTTAATTTAATGGCACACCCAAGTGGCCATACAAAGGCATATCACTCTAGATTGGCAACAGGTTACCTGCAGTGAAGCTGCCAAGACCCACAGTTTTTACACTTTGAATATAGTTGCCAATAAACAAAAACTTACTGGTTAAGCAAGCACACTGACAAGTTCCAAAGCACAATCTTTTAAAGAAATGTGGTTTCACGTTTGGAACAGAAGTCTGGAAGTTGGAGAATCTGGATTCTGTTTGTACTTCTGCCACAGCCTTGTTCCATGCCTTTAGCCAAATATCTTGAGATCTGGATTTGAGAGGTGCACTGGGAGTTCAGACAGCATTCCCTCTCTCATGGAGTTTGTCTTATTTTAAAATAAGCTTAAAAGCAGCTACTTCTGCAAAGTCAGAGTTTTGAACTATATGTTATTGCTACTATTTAAGAGTTTAGTGCTAAGCAATAGTACACCCAAATTGCATGGAGCTATAAATAATAAATGTATTTTTTCATCCTTTTATAGAAAGCGTGACTATGAAGGGTTTCTGTGTTCTCTGCTGTTGCCTGCAGAATCTCGAACCTCTGCTTTTGCCTTGAGAGCCTTCAATGTGGAACTGGCTCAGGCAGGTATTAAAATATATTTGTCAACTCTGGAAATGTAAAGTAACAGTTTAGATATTCTAAATTACACTAGTAGGCAGTGTTCTGCCAAGATTAACTTTTTGCACTATAAGGGGCAATGAATAAATAGTGCAATACAAGCCTCTGCTTTTGAATGGCCCTTGGAAAGTAGGCAGCCTCCCCCAATTTATTTTGTTTTTATATTTCTATATCTATATATATATCTTTTCTGATTTTCCTCTTTTGTTGTGCATTTTAAAGTTAAATGGTAACAGGCTGTGGTCCTTGATGCTGTTATGTGATTGCATCTATGTCCTGGCTGCAAATGGAGCAACTGTAAAGTTCAGCTAAATCCTATCTGTAGGTCTGTCAAAAAACTTGGATGATACAATCAGTCCTAGGTCTTTGTTGGCAGAAGCTAGGTGATAGAAAGGCTGCCGGGAGGGAAGTTTGTAATTAGAGTTGTGGGAGGGGAGTGGCTGCAGTCTCTCCCTTTTGTCTGGTGGCCAGAAACTGCCAGTGCAACCAGGAGAGTGGGTAACGCTTGCCAGAAAGGAGCGATCCAGGAAATGTGCTGACCAAGCAAAATCTCGCATCAACTTCTGTGGGCTGCGCTTCTGGCAACCGGTGGTGCACCCCTCCCTTGCTGCTGTTACCACTGCTTCTTTTACTTCTGGGAAGAAAGCCAAGGTGAGGGTCCCCCAGATCTTAATCTCTGTGGGTTTCAGAATTAGGTTGTGGTGAAGATTTTTATTTTTTTTTTAATTTTTTTTCCTCTCTAGTGTTTGTATGCTTTGTAAGGAATAAATGTAAATTCAGAACTGAGCACTTTCCTTGCTGAGTTTGGCTATGACCTGTGTCTGTCTTTCTGATGTAGATAGACCAGGTGCCTTAAAGACACTGTGAATTTCACTGCAGTTGTATCCTTTCCAGATTAAAGATTCCATAACTCAGAAAACTACAGGTTTGATGCGAATGCAGTTCTGGAGGGAGGCTGTGGAAGATATATACTGCGATAACCCACCACATCAGCCGGTTGCTACAGAACTGTGGAGGGTAAAATACACCTTCGTTGTACCCACAATTCACTTAACTAAAATATTACTGTGGAAATAATGTCAGTGTTTTGTGTGTACTGTGTTGCATGGTTAACAACATTATTTTATATAAAACAGATAATGTAAATTGTCTTTGTGTCTGTGTGTGATGCTGTAAAATACCTACAATGAAAGAGCAGAGTTGGAGAAGGAGGATTGGAGGGTCAGACTTCTGCGAACCATCTGGTTTTTTTTCTCTTATGCTTAGGTGAAGGACAGAGTAAATTGTGGTAAGCCATAAGTTGATAGCAAGTGAAGTGCATAAGTATACTTTCCTGAGCCAGTGCTAGTTCTACCTGAAGAGATTAAGCTGTACAAAGAGACAGGAGGCTAAGCACAGAGGTTGAACTGGCAAATAGGATATGAGGAAAAGCCCAAAACCTTTATACACACAATTACTGGGTAATAGGGAGAATCTTAATACAGTCTTCTCCTTGCATCAAGAGTTGCTTGATGACTCCTATTTATGTGTGTTATGTTTTGCACAGATCCTTTTGTGTGCACTGAGTAACAGGGAATGTACTTGTGAACTTAATGGTTTATTTTTACTAAGATGCTTGAGTTCTACAGGCACTAGAACATCACACGTAAAGTACACCTACAGATCTGTTCCGCTGTTGGTCATGACCAAAGAAACAAGAGGCTCTCTCCCAAAATCTTTTGTTCTAGTTAGGACTGTCATTCAGTGGATTACTGAAGACCTGAAGGCAGTGTAAATGGATTTCCCCTTGATGCTGATACAGAACCACAGAATGATTTAGTTGGTAGGGATTTCTGGTTGTCATCTAATCCAATTTGCTACTCAGAGAAGGTCTAATATCAAAGTTAGATCAGGTGGTCAGGGTCACATTGAGTTGAATTTTTAATTTCTTCGGGAATGGAAGTTCCATACATTGCTAATTTGTCATCCTAGGGCCACAAGACACTGCAAGTCTTAGAACCTTCCAAAGGAACAGCTACCGTAAGGCCTCTACTCTGTAAGATCAGAACTTGCATTTAAACTAAAGATCTCTGAGCTCCTGAACAGGAAAAGCTGCGCTTTGTCTAGATCTCAGTAGCTGAATACATTTAACATGTAGTTAGGTTTATGGACTTGTTGAAAAACAGGCAGTGAAATGTGGAGTCTTCTTCCAGATACTCACCTGCATTATTCCTGTTAAAATCCTGGGAAGAGTAGGACGCTCACTGTAACAGTGGGTTAGGACAATGCAGTTCCTGTGGTATTAAAGCATTTAACTTGTTACCGTTTTAGCTTCACAACCACTCTGCTGCAGCTCTGAGACCACAAAAATGAGTCCTTTCCAAATTTTCTTTCAGTGACTTTTGGCAGTGCTGAAACTATGTCCTCTCTCTGACTCTTCTTCCTTCAAATGTGAAGTAAAGCATAAGTGAGCATTTGTTCCTGTCTGTCAGCATTCATGTTTAGATTAAAATTGGGATTTAAACAAGATACAGTACGTTTAACTAAGAGGAAATCATAGGTAAAGCCAAGAAGTAAAATAAAAGAAAAACACCTGTTACAGTTGCTTTTAGGAGGACTAGAGCTATTCATAGGTGTTTCCTGCTCAGATAAACTGTGTGCCTTAACCACAACAAAGCATTCATACGGTTAGAATGAAGACTGGCAAATGTTATCCCTTTCATGGGATTATGGGTGTTGAAGATGCATGTGGGGTGATACTTTAATGCAGGCATTAAAATACAGAATTGGTCATTTTGCATGTCAATCTGTCTGTGCCTTTGCTTTTTATTTCCTTCTTTCTGTCCCTCTTCCAGCCTATGTCAAACTTCCCAGGAACAGGACCGTTTTCTCCCAAAATGCTTTTGTTTCCTTTCCAAGGAGGAACTTACTGTAGTGTAACTTTACTTATTTTTGTTTCTGAAGATATCCTGTCATTTAGTTGTCTGGGTGGGTGAGGTTCAAGTTAATTTTGGGTATGACTATATATATTCTTTCAACCACTTTTAATTTCAGACTCTGTGTGTGTGTGTGGCCATTTATTGCTGAGCATGACATCATAGGGTATGGGATGTCCCTTTGGGTAGTTGGGGTCAGCTGTCCCAGCTGTGTCCCCTCCCTACTGCTTGTGCACCCCCAGCCCACTTGCCGGTGGGGAGGTGTGAGGAGCAGAAAAGGCCTTGGCTCTGTGTAAGCACTGCTCAGCGGTAACTAAAACATCAGTGCATTAACAACACTGTTTTCAGTACAAATCCAAAACACAGCCCCATACAAGCTACTACGAAGAAATTTAACTTTATTCCAGCCAAAACCACTACAACATTCAGATATGAATCATTGGGATATTGAGATACCAATTGCAACCATTTCCAACAGCTACGACTGCCAGTCATACTCTTTTCCTTTCTCACAAAACAGAAAATTGATTTTGAAGTGGGAGAAAGAATTGGCCTATCTCTATTGTAAGATTTCACCCTACAAACAGAACTGGTTGTGAAATAAGATGTAGAAAAATAATTCAGAAAGTATTTCTAGGAGCTCTGATAGCTCTGAACACTATAGAGCACTAGAGTGAACTAACAATCCAACTTGATCGGGTGATCTTTGCACTCAGGGTGTGGTTTTTATTTCTGCATTTCAGCAAATACCCCAAGAATGACCTCTTTGAAGAACACAGCTTCACAAATGTTCAAGAATGTCATTGCAATTCTTAGAAAGAAGGATTTGGAGAGACACCTGAACTCATAAGTTTGCACAGCTGTTAATAGAATTAGCATGTCTTTTGCACAGCATGTTTTATGTATAATCTTTTCTTCCTGTTGAGTTTGTATGAGGACAATTTTGATTTTCCAGAACAAATACTAATTTATCATGTTAAATGTGTTCCCAAAGTTCTGTATATCCCTCACATTTGGATTCCAAGAGTTTTATGCACTAGTAAAGTATATAAATAGCCTTTAATAATATTTCTAGAATTATTAATAGCTCAGCTCTGAGTCACCTCAATATAAACGTCAACGGCAACTGTATGATACTTGTTCTTACACTTCTGCCCATTTTGAACATATGAAAAGTGAGGCCTCCGTTAATTTCTGGGGAAGAAGATGATTTTCAAAACTTTGGAAAATAAGAATCTGAGTGGTTGAATGAAGGTAGCTCAAAATGGACGTAATGTCGAAATTGGGTAATTTAGCAGAATTCAGTTTGGTGCTTTAAGTCTTGAGCTGTGACTACTTCAAGGATTTCATTTACCAAATAATACTCAAGATGAACAAGTGGGAAGCAAAACTGATCTTTGTAGCTGTAATTTAAAATGTGCCTTTTCACATACCAAGTACTTCCTCAAGCAGATTTTGCTGAATCATCAAGAAGATCTAGTCTTGTCAAACCTTGAAAACATATTTACAAATATAATGGATGTAAAGAAGTTGAAAGTGAGCTATAAAGGCTAAGATTGTGAGAAGTCTGCATCATAAATTTTGTTTATAAATATTTGTAGGTGTGATTGTAGCCTTTCTGACAATGTGGTCTGCAAAATTCAGTGTAAGTAAGAGAATTGAAGGTAAGTTGGTAAAATGAAGTGATACAGGAAGGAAGTCAAATATAAGAGCCAGAAGAATAATTTGTGAGTATGTGACGCTGAGATGATTATTTAAACAAAACCACAATATTCATTATGTTACTTTGTTAGGATGCTGCTTTTACAGTATGTATTGGTATGTTGTACTGACATTTTATTGAAAATATACAGGGGAAATCTTTTTATTGCTTGAATCTGGGGGAAACTGTTCTCTTTGGAAAGTGAACATGGTTTTCTGCAGATATTTTGTGGGAATGTATGACTCCATGAAAGAATAAATTACTTTCAGAAATGTTTTTAAAGAAATGCTTTTGGTTAACTGGCTTGATGTTCAAGATTTCATTTCTTACGCGCAACAGTTTGTAACAAATGCCAGTTGGAAATTTTCGTATCTGAAGGTTCTAATTTTTCACTGACATGCCACTTTGATGTAACCCAGTGAATACAATCCTTGTAAGAAAAGATTTATTTAAAATATGTTTCAGCCTTCAGAATGCAGTACTACCATCACTTTGTATACATTAACCTGTATGTTTTATTTGATAATTTTCAGGCTGTCAAGAGGCATAACTTGACTAAAATGTGGTTCATGAAGATCATTGATGAAAGAGTAAGTATTCACCATGGAAAGTCTGATTCTGGTTTTAGTCATATTTGGGGGGGGAGGGTTCCCCTTATTTTTATCTGTTTGTGTGTAAAACAAAAGCGTAAGTAATTACTCTTTTCCCAGCAATAGTATTTCTCTTTAAGAATGGTACTGATATATTTTCTTTTAGTTCTCCCTTGCTGCCCCTACTCATAATTTCTGCTCTTTCTGTCCAACATACCTAATAGAATCCTTTGTTTATTTTTGCTTTAAAATAGATGAAGTTTGTGAGTCCACGTCTTTTCTGCTCTAATAGCCAGTGTGTCAGTGCTCATGTTTTCTGTTGCTGGTCTCTATTCCTGATTTGAAGTGGTTACTGCTAGAGATAATCCACTGGGAGTTACATTTAGATACCTTTCTGTATGTAAGTGAGGGAAGTTCCATCCTATGGGATTAAGTAGTAAGGTCTCCATATGCAACTGTTAAGAATTCTGGAAAACTACATTTTAATAGAAATGGAAATGAGATGTGCAAGAAGAGAAACTCGCACATGTTCTCTTTTTGTGCTGTTCCAATCCTGCCCTGAGAGAAAGGGCATCTTGCATATTGCTAAATGTTCCACAAATCTACATCATTGGCAGCATCTTACTCCTCCTCACCTCTTTTTTTACCATGTCAATTTTGGTCCTAAATAGCCTTCTCTTGTGATGAGTCATAAAATCTCAAAAATTAAATGATCTATCTTAACCTTTCTGCCACACTTTGCTGCTTCTTATCATGGCTGTTGAGTTTTTCCTAAGCACTACTGTAAATTGGAGCATTCAAATCACATGAATTCTAAAATATCCACTGTTTTTCTGGGAAAAAAAAGGGAGACTTTCACTGGTACAGTGATCCTGCTACCAACTCTGACACAAGGGCAAGAATGAATAGCTGAAGCCAGGAATTTCTTAAGCTTACTTTGCTGCTAAAGTTAGTGTCTCATGAAGTTATACCTTGAGTAAATTGATAGTCAGTTACTTGCAGAGTGTGGTCTGAAAGACTTCAGGGTTTTTTAATCTAAGACTGGTTTTTAATATTAAGACTGGTATGTTTTAACCACAAAAGCCACTAGGACAGGACGAATTACGGAGGATGTTATATTTTTGGGTGTATTTGCATATGACTTTGAAACTCATGTATTTCATGGATTGATTTTTGTGCATGTTTTAAAAAATACATTCCTATTTATCTGAATTTCTCTGTGCTTCAGATGCAAATTAAGTATTAAAATTGGCAACCCCATAGTGTAAGAATACCATATGATGTTTTGTTTTGGCTGTACCTTTTTTTTAATGAAGAATTATGATTTCTTATTATTGCAAGAAGTTATATTTGCCCCAGTAATTGGACTTGGCTGCAGTTGCATGTAGTGACTTGGTTATGTTACACTTGCTGTAAGCTTTAATGACTACTTCTATCTGAGTTTATACTCTCTTTATCTCTTAATTTTGTCCTTTTTTTTTTTTTTCTAATAGTGGGTTAGGCTGACATGACTGTAGTAATAAGCTTGTACAAATAGCAGATGTGTTTACATTTTACTGAAGTTCTGTGTTCATATTACAGGAGAAGAATTTGGATGATAGACCGTACCGCAATATCCAGGAGCTTGAAACGTATGCTGAGAACACTCAGAGTGCTGTCTTGTACCTCACCTTGGAAATGCTGGGTAGGCGTTTTCCCCTTTTTAGATGTTGTTGGTGACTCATTAGTGCAGGTACAATATTTACTGGTGTTTCAAAAAGCCCACTCTTTTTCCACTGGAGTTTAATTTCAATAGGAGTCATCTTAGGTAATGCTCCAGATCTCTTTTGAATGCTCAACCATAAATGTGGAATCTTACTGCGCCTGTCCTAGAACCATGTACTTTCCCTAGAAGCTGCTTGGTGGAAAGCTCATGGTAGTGCAGTTTCCCACTGCTCTGTTGTTTGTTGCTTTGTTTTCTCTTTTCTTGCTTTTATGACAGAATGGGGTAAATTCAGCTCTCCACCATATTTTCGAATTGTCCTGCTTGTCAGAACACAAAATGCTGTAGTTATTCTGCTGCTGTTGTTCTATATTGCAGTGCTGTACGCTGGTTATCTTGAAACAACTGACTTCCCAACCTATAAACTTCCCTTGGTGATGTTGTAAATTTGAATCTGAATCCTCTTCTCTTCCTAAAAGTAGGTTAACTATCAGTAATTGAATAACTAGAAAAAATGCAACAAAGATGATACGATCCATGTGTTTAAGAACTAGTGTCTGTGTCATGTCTAATATAAGAGTCACAGATTGGTAAAGAACTGTTCATTTGCAGTGAAAAAAAGGGTCATTTTCTTTTCTGGATGTTTGTTGCATTATGGCAGTATTCTCTGTATGAGCTCAGATGTAAAAGAAGGGTGAGAATTATTATTATTTAGTAGTATTTAGTATTGTAATAGCAATATTTTCCTCTTTGTTGGACTAGTCTGATGGAAGGCCAACGCTGAGGTTAAAAGAAAAAAACAAAGAAAAAAGAGAGATAAGTAAAAAGAGAGATATGGTGAGCACATTCTTCTTCGGAAGAAATGAGGAACCTATCTCAGCATACGATGCTTACTTCCTCAGTAGAAAATCAGTGAAATGTTGCAAGTGTCTTTCTGAACTTCTGATTGAAAAAATGTAGGAGTATGTGAAAAAATCAGCGTCTTCCATTCTGAGAAATGTCTTCAATTCTGAAGAAGTTTGGTCATGCTTGGGTTGCTTCTGGTACAAGTCAGATGATCCTGTTCTTGAAAATCTGTTATGGGGGCTCTGGGTTTTCTAGGTGCCCTATTGTCATGTTTAACTTCTCTTACATATACCAGTATAACAAAATATCTAAGCAAAACTCTCCTTCACTGCGTATTAAACAGTTAATTTATGTGGTTTTTTTTTCCACAAATAGAGAAATTAATTAACACAGCCCTTCTCTTGGTGTTCCCTATCTAGTTTTCTAGACTAGGTGGATGTGGTTTCATTTCAGATTGTCTGTGCGAAATTCCTTGTGCTTTTTAGCTTCTTTGTTCCTGACTTGTCTCCAGTTTGTGTGTATCTCCCAGTAGTAGTGCTGCTTTATTACTGATTTTGGGTTACTTTTTTTGCCAAGTTCAATTTGACTGGTAAACTTGTCGTCCAAAGTCCTGGTACTTCCTGCTAGCTCCTGTCATTTAAAAATATTAATATTGTGCTCTTTGATTCATTGCCTACAGAGTTGGGAGTCTGGTACTCCTCAATAATTTGATTAAACCTTTTCAGAACATCGCTTTTGGGATACGTTCCCACGTTGAGCATGAGTCGTTGCTAACTCTTACTATTTGAACTTTTTAAAATTCCTAGTTATATATAAAGCCTGAACTGCCCAGTCAGTATCAGTAAGTTATATCCATTGATTCCTCCAAGCCACAACTCTGCGTTCTGCTGCCATTGCTAAAATAAGTCCACATAGTCTACCTGTAGCCACTGTTTCGCAAAGGCTTCCGAGATCCGTGCAAGGCTCGGGCAGGCTTGGTCAGTGAATCTGGTATGCCCAGTATCGTTTTCAGGTGTCGGTTAGGCTCATTGGTCTGTAATTCCTGTATCTTCATTTCTTTCTCTGTAGAATGCTGCTTCTGATAGAGCCTTTATGAATTTTAATTTCAATCATCCTTTAAATTTCCATTTTATCCCGAGTCAGTCCTGTGAAAACATTACGGCTTTATGATCAGTCTAAGCCAACCTTGTATGGTCCTGCCATGAAGAGCAACGGTACTGCTCATCTTCTTCTTTTTTCAGTTCTCACAGTTGTGTGACCATGCAGTACCTAAAGTTAGTTTTCCATTACTTTGCCGATCTGATTCAGTTTGCCATGCTACTGCCTCATTGCCCATGACAGCACAAGGGAGGTGGCAGAAATGTGGGTTCGGGGGAGAAGCGTAGGACCATTCTCTTTGGCGTCAGTACACTGCTAATTAGCTGCAGCTAATCATGAAACCATGCTGTATTAATGCTTGTCAGGAATGTCACACTTGAATGATTTTTCTGGCAGGAAAAACAGTTCTTAGAATACTGTTATTATCAGAGAGGACATGCCAATGAAAATGAGTTTGTGTACTGAGGTATTATGTCTGAATAGGTGCCGCTCCGCTAAGTATACCCTTTGAAAAAACTGTGTCCTGGGTTGAGTGAGTGGTGGTTTATTGGTGGCAGGGGAGGGGGCTATCGGGGCAGCCCCCTGTGAGAAGCTTCTCGAAGCTCCCCCAGCTCCAAGTCAGCTCCACTTCTGTTTGGGAAACTGAGCCAATCGCCTGCGCCTCTGCCATAACGTATTTAAGAAGGGACGTGGTGACAAGCAGTGGGACTTGTGAGGAGGAGTTGCTGCAGCTGCCTGAACACCAGGGTCAGTGGAGGAACGGAGGAAGAAAGGAGGGGGGAGGTGTGCCGGAGCAGAGACCCCCCTGTATCCTGTGGTGAGACGGCAGGGCGGCCCCCCCTGCCACCCATGAAGATCTACGGTGGAGCAGACATTGATTTATGGCCTGTGGCTCCTGCTCCACTGATCAAGGTTCTGTGCCCGAAGAAGGCCGGGGTCTCATGGGAAAAGGTAGCCCCGCTGCTGTAATTCAGTGCTGGGAGGATTGCAGCATGCGGGGGAGCCCCACGCCGGAGCAGCTCGGGAAGGGCTGCAGCCGTGGGAGGGAATCCAGTCAGAGGAAGTTAGTGACCCATGACGGAGCAGTGTGGGGAATGCTGCGGCCCATGGGAGGAACTCATGTCAGAGAAAGTTTGTGGAGGACTGTCTCCTGTGAGAGGGGGACCACGATGGAGCAGGGGGAACAAGTTTTGGACACTCCCCTCACCGAAGATGAAGAAAGTGGCAGCACTGACTGCACCCCCCATTCCCTGCCCCTGCGCCACTGGGGGAGGAGGTAGAGATATCGGGAGCAGAGCTGGGCCCGGGAAGAAGGGAGGGGTGGGGGGAAGGTGTTCTCAAGATGTGGCAATGCTTCTCACTGTCCTACTCTGTTATGTGTTGTTAGTGTCTGTAATAAATGTATGGGTTTTTTTTCCTTCCCCTAACGAGTCTGCCTTTTGCTCGTGATCATAAAGGGGAATTTTTCCCCATCCCAGTCCTATCTCGAACCCCAAGCCTGGCTCTCTGTCCCTTCTCATTGCCGGAGGGGAAGGGAGAGAGAGCTGCTGCGTTGTGGTTGGCTGCCAATCAGGCCAAAACCATGACAAACTGCAACAAACTAAGAGGTATCATACTTCTGAATGTGGAAATCAGTGAATTTGCCTGTTGCTTTGCACCTCTGAGATGAGATCTCAGGGTAATTTTTGAACATAGTTCTATCATGGACCAATGCACTTAGCTTTCCTTAAATAAGACTGTGATACACCTCAGGGAAGACTATACTCATGAAGAGACCTGACAGTATGTTTCTAAACATATTATTTCTGCAATTTTAGGTGTGAGAGACATCCATGCTGACCATGCAGCCAGTCACATTGGGAAAGCCCAAGGCATAGTTACCTGTTTAAGAGCAACTCCGTATCATAGTACAAGACAAAAAGTCTTTCTTCCCATGGACATTTGTATGTTGGTAAGAGAAGCAAGTTGTCTGAAATTGAACAGTATAGTGTTTCTAACTGTTTCTCTCAACACTAGATATGAGATCATAATTTATTAGGCCAGAAACAGAACATGTGTTTTCTTTATTTTAACTCTTTTTGCTGTGGCCTACTAATATGCCATTGTCAGAGTTTTAAATCTTTTGGGAGGTGAGAGGAATGACCTTCATGTGTTTTGTTGTTTTTTTTTTTGTTTTGTTTTGTTTTTATTAAATGTAGTAGTATTTTAGATTTCAGGAATTTTTCTGTTAATGTGTAAAAATACACATACGGGATGGAGTCTGGGTCTTGTTTGTTTTGGTTTTTTTTTATTACTATTATTTTGTATTTTCCTATCCCCACAAAGAAAGCACTATGAGAAATTTTACTTGTGAACAATCTTCTCAGGTTTCTCTTTATTACCTTTTCATATATGTTGGTGGTTTTGGGTTTTCTTTTTTTTTTTTTTTGGGGGGGGTGCGGTTTTTCTTTTTTTTCAGTAACGTATTTGATAGCAAGGTATGGAATGTATAGTTACAGCTGTAGAAAATGTTATAGTCCTCCAGTTTAAACTGCACACCTAATTTGCATTGGAATTTAGCAGATCTTGCAATTTGGGTAAAAGTGGATTGAAGCTCAAATTTTTTCATTAATGTTCTCTGGCTAGATCTGTAGGCATCTCAGCTGTTATTCCTTCATCTCCAGTCTTTATTTTTAAATGTTAATGCTCTTCTTTTTATACTTAACCAAAATTTATGTAATTATGGTGATGTTTAAGGCAGCTGTGTTAGTATTTTCTGAATATCATTTCAATATAAATGAAAGCTTTGATTTGAGGTTTCGTAATTTAAGTAGTTGCAAAAAATGTAGATACTAATATAGGTCAGGGTTATAGGACTGCAGAGAGGAGCTGCACTCTGCTTTCAGCCCTTCTGGGACTGGATGGTATGGGAGGCCTTCCAAGTTTTTAGCTTTTCAAACATAGCCTGAAAATTCACAGTCATTCCTTGCCATGGAAGGTGTTTTACAGTGAAACTGTAAAAACAGCTTGCATCCCTTCTGTGCAGACTGAGCATCTTGTAAGCATTTCAGCTGCTGGCAAGTATCGCAGCGTTCTACTGGAGTCTCTGTCTCCTGTGAAGCCTACCTGCCTACCTTCATACAGCTTTCACATGTCAGAGTTGCTGAGAATGGGGAACTGGTGCAATATCTGAATATATCATAATATGTCTTACATTGGTTACTACAGTCAAAGACTAAGTTTAGGGTTGGTTTCTTGGGGGGTGGGAGGTTTGGGGTGGGTTTTTTTTGGTGGTTTTGGTTTTCTGATCTGGTTTGGGTCTTGAGCGTGGGTTTGTTTGGTTTGAGGAGGGGTTTGTTTTTTTTTGTTGTTGTTGGTTTTGTTTGGTTGTTCTTTTCTTGCAAGACTGGTGGTGCATACCAAACCCAAGGTCATGATTTGCTTCATAAGCAAGCGTGGCTTCTGCGTTGGCTGTTACTGGCTTGCTTCTGCTTAATATCAATTCTTGGATTATGCCTTAAAAATTGGGCATTTAAACTCATCTAAATTCCCAAAACTTTAAAATCTGACTTGGTTATCTGACTGACCACAGAGTCTGTAGGGAACAAATTAATGCAGAGAGTCTGTACCGGCTGTTCTCTTTGTTCTCTTGAATTTTTTTCCAAGTAACTGACAAAAAGAAAAGGGAAATAAAAAAGGAGGGGGCAGTGGTAAAACATTTAGGCTGTTTCAGTCTTGTGTCACTAGCTTGGTTTCTGGGACAGGTTTTTGAGAAGCTAAAATGGAAACTTGATATTTATTGAGGGTTTTTTCTCTTTTTGATTTTCCTTCCTATGCCTAGCATGGAGTTTCACAAGAGGATTTCATAAGACGCAAGCAAGAGAAAAATGTGAGAGATGTAATTTATGACATTGCCAGCCAGGCCCATATTCATCTAGAACATGTGAGATTTCTTCCCTTTTATTTATTTAAACAAACACAATTGATGATAATCTTCACAAAGCATTATGCATGTGTTGTTAGAAGACTTACAGCTGCATACTTAATTTCAAATATTTTACCTCTAATTACTTTGAGAGTTTAAATAAAAAAAGCCAAAACACCACACAAAACCTTTAAATGTTACAACTACTTCTCTACGAATATTATACTTATCTGTATGTACAGGAGGCAGTTTACTCAAAGCCAGGTCCAATTGCATATATATAAATACTGCCTAAAAGCCTTATTACTGGGAGAGACACTTCAAGCAGACTTATAAATGCAACTATATGCCAGCATGGGATCAGCACCATAGAAAGCACTTCTGCATATGGTATTTCACAGCAGGGTGGAATGGCTGCCAGGAAAGCAGAGCATGTTGCCTTTCACTGCTGGTTAGTGTGTGTGGGAGGGGGATTCATTCCTAACATGACCAGTCGTGCTCAGAGCTATGTTGGAAAAGGTGCTTTCTGTTTATTTATTTTCTGGCTCACATCCAAGTGAATTAGGAAAGACTTCTTTTGCTTGGAACAGTGGATAACGAACCCTGAAGAACTGCAGAGTCCTGCTCCATTTTTATTTTATGCTTATACTTTAGCTACACTCTCAATTGCTTGTTGGTACGTAATACGAAACCAAAAGAATGTTTCATCAGCAGTGCTGTGTCTGCCTTTATCTGGAAAACAAAACTTTCAAGAAGCACTGTAAAGGGTTTCTTATGTCTACAAGTACACGTATGCATATACTTTGAATATTGCACCTGATTCTTCCAGTCAAGGTAGTCTGAAAAAATACCACTTCAAAGTAAAGAAATTCCAGATTTATCTCTGTGTTTACACCATTAATATAATCCTCAATTACAGTGTTACCTGCGATTTTATGCAGTAGAGATAGGAGAACACTTCTTCGTTTTTCTGAAGGTAAAATGAGGCATCTCTGGTTTGTTCAGTCAGTGGTTAGATAGTTGATTAATGTTTTTATTTTTTGTTAATAATATGTAGCCTTGGGCTTTATTTTTAATATGGACTATTTATAACCTACATTTAATGCATTCCTGTTCATGTTGTTTCACCTGATGTTTCAGTTTTTGTTGTCACATGCCCAAGGAAACTGTTTTTTCCATTTAGAAGCAGGGAACAGACAAAGAAAATGCAGCGCCAAAACTGTCCACTATCTTTGTTTAAGCTGAAATATTTTCTTTTTTTATTCCCCACCTCTCATCCCATAATGCACAGTATATAAAACCCACTGACTTCGGTTGCACTTGTGGCTTACAGAAATGCCAAGTGCCTGGTCTGAAATGCCTCACAGCAGGGATGGGAGGCATGGAAAACAAGCAGTGCGTATTTATTGTCCAGATGTTTAAAATTTGGTTGCTGGTATTGCATGGAAACTTTGAGACAGAACCAGGGAGAGAATTCAGTTCTCCAGAGCCTTTCAGATAATTTGATAATTCTTAATTCGTTGGTCCCCTGGCTTCCAGCTTCCATGCCAGCCACCTTCTGAAGAGAACAGGCATAACCTTACCCTTTCCTTTCTTCCCACTCCATTCCTAGAGCCCTGCCCATGTTATGCACGGGGAGTGTCCTATGGAAAATATGCAATGTGATCATGTCATTGGAGACTATACAGAGGAGTATAAACACAAGGAAACCAGATTAGGGCAGCATTAGCATTTCATTCTATTGAATGTTGATCTTTGCACGTTCCTCCCCACCCCCCTTTTTTTTTTTTTTATAAATGGATGGCTTATATCATCTTAATTCAAATTTAAAAATTCCTCTCTGAATACTTGTTTCCAGCCTCCATCATCATCAGTGAAGAATAATTGACAGTGCAGGATCTCTAGAGTGTTCAAATCACTTCAACTGGCAATAACTGTCAGTAATAACGGGGTATTAGGCTCCTTGATAATCAGATGGTCTTTGTTAATGCAAGGATAAAGATACTTTCTCCCCTAATGGATGAAATAGGCTTTTGCTGGCAACATTTGCTGGGTATTTTAAGGCTATAGGTGAATGTAATGGGCTGGTGCCTTTAAATACATCTATTCTGCTGTATAAAATCACCATCTTGTTTTGCCTGAGGGCCTTTTCAGCCACTTACCCTTTGTCTTAGTTGGAATTACAGGGTAGGGTAAAGTTTAAACCTGCAAAGGGGTTTCAGCAGTCTCAGCATTTGTTACACAAACCACATACTTTGGAGGATGAGGGTAACAGTTACCAGCACCATTTTACAGTCAGAAGAAACATAATCCTCAAATGCTAAATTAAGTCTCAGCAATGCTATATGAAGCGTATTGTAGTAATGTGGCACTTAATTTTAGGAGAAAAGTTCCTGAGGTGTGGTCAGCTCTTCTGATACAGTGACTGATGACCAGCAGAGGGCAAAATAAGATAACAAAGATTGCAGTTTTCTTTAGGAATTGTGTGTTTTATTCTAATAAAAGCGCTCTGTCAGTCCCACAGTGGTCCCTTCAAAAGCCTGCAAATACATTTACATGTTCCCTCTCTTTCTCTTAAGCACCCGTCCCCCTATTCCTCTTTTAAAAGGAGGGTCTCCTTTTGGCATTTATTGCAGTTATGTTAGATCGTTGTGGACTCAGTTTACCCAAAAAGATGACATGCTTTCTGAATGACAGGCAACCCATTCTGGATTAAGAAGGTCAGGAAGGATTACTTTCTTTTTTCATCTTGCAATTAATAATAGTAAGGCAGAGCATTAGATCAGGGAAGAACATTTTCCTTTTCTAGACGTACATATATGCACACACATGCACACATGTTATTACATCTCAGAGTTAAAATAATTTGCCTTCTGAAAAGATTCAGTATTTTTCCCTTGTAAAGTTTGAGCCTGATTTTCTCAGTTGTCTGGAAAGATCCATGGAAAACTAACACATTCTCATCAGTATTCATAAAGGGTTGGTTGGTTGGTTTGTTTGTTTGAACCTGTAAGAAAAGGGAAAAAAAAAAAGAGGGATTCTGTATTTATAAATAAGCATTACAGGAAGATTTACTTCAGCTCTGTTAGATGTACCTGAATTGTACGTGGGTTTAAATTGTAGGTTTGATTCACCCATGGTTTAGACTCTCTTTACATGTAGATACTGAGGACCTGAGGCATTGAGAGCCTTTCGTAGTCCCATAAATGTAAATGGAGCATAACTGGACTTCTAGGACTGATGGCAACACTGAACCAAAAAGATGCCCTCAGGGAAATGCATTTCTGATCTTCCATCGTTTCTGTCTCTTGGGATGAACAGAGTTATTTGGTGGGGGAAGAAAGGGTTAAACCATATTTATTAAATCAGATGAAACTTGGAACTTTGTTGGAACGAGGAATGCTAATTTACATTGGTTTATTATATGTAAACTGTAAGGTTGTCAAACCATATAAGAATGTTAGCAGGCCTCTCCCAGTATTATGTACTTTCTGTGTCATACTTTTGTATACCGTGAGGGTTGATGCTGGCATGCACATAATGAAAAATTACAGTGTCAGGGTGTCAAAATAAAAAGGGACGAAGCTTGTAATAGAGTCTGCTGCCTCTAGCCATTATATATAGCACTTGATGTTTAATGTAAAAAGTTAAATTCTCCTGATAAGTACATTTGTTTTTTGTTTTCTTTTTTCTCCCACCTCACCCCATTTACTTTCAGGCTAGATCTTTCAGTAAGAAAGTTCCTGTGAAGGCATATCCTGCTTTTCTCTGTACGGTGGGTGTGGTATCATGCACTTTTTAAGTGATGGACTCATTTCTGTGCTAATACGTTTGTGAAGAGTAGAGTATCAAATTAAGCATGGTTAACTTAACATTTCATGTGTCTATTTTGGGAGGATGTAGTACCTAAAACTTGTAAAAACCATAATGTGGGCCTGACTCTGGAACCTCACAGTTTTGATCAACACTTCTAATCCTTCTTCTTTAACTACATCATTTCACCCAAGATGTCTGTATACTCATAGACCATCATTCTGATTCAAGGGCCCAAAATCTTGTCTACTTTTATAATTTGCTGTTTGGTCTAGAAAAAGATAATGCTTCTCTTCACAAAACCTGCCTTTTTTATGTCCTTTGAATGTGATGGTGACGCTACCGCTTAATAAAATGGGCAAACTGTCAAGCCGTTTTGCAGTTCCTCATTTGGTTTCATGTATCGCTTTTTAAACTTAATGTCCAGTTATTTGTGTGCACTATACAGACTAAGCTTTTTTTCTTCTTTTCTAGGTTGCTTTAGATGATTATTTATGTAATATGCAAAAAGTGGACTTCAATATATTTCATCCAGGTTTACAAAAGAAGCGAACACTATTACCATTGCATTTATATATTAGATCTTGGAAAAAAACATATTAAAGTTTTTTTAATATGGGTTCAGAGTGCTGAATTTTTTCTTTAATGTCTTAACTTGATAGAATTGTTAAGTGTCTAACTTCACACTTCTGCAAAGTGCAGTTCATGGGAAACAGCAGATGCGCATGAACTGTAGCTGTCAGCTTGCTGGCAGTAGTTAAGTTTGTTCTTGGAATATTAGGCCGATATCTCTGCTTCACATGTCTGCCAAGTCATATGTCCTTGTCTGGGATTACTTTTCTTGTCTTTCCTGTAATAACAGCAATATGATAGAATTCTTCTTGGACAAATTCTGTGCTAATGGATACTTCTGACAGTTCTGACACTTCACTGGAAAAAAAAAAAAAAAAAAAAAAAAGACTGCTTTGTTTGTGCCCAAAAGCAGTTACAGTAAATGCCTTATAAATCAGCTAAACGATTCTGCTTAGTGCAAGAAGACTTCTTGTAGGTACTAATGAAGTTGGAAGAATGGGCACATATATTTAAATACAAGAAAACTGTCAGGAAAAGCTTTAGCTGTTTTAATTATGTAGTGTTTATGCAAAATTTCAGAATGGTGAAATAGAGCTGTAGTACAGAAATTATTTAGCTGTTTGTTGAGATTGAGCATTGAAGTGACTGTAGGTAGTGGGAGGATAGCTTTACAACGTAGGAAGAGAACCCTTACGCAGTTTTTATCTCCAGGTCAGCCAAAGGCTTTTTCTGCACTTAGCTTGGCTGTATTTTCCTTGTGGCCTCTCATCTCTGTTGTTGCCCACAGTTGTCATTGCAACATGGGTTTGATGGCCCCTTTGTTGATATTCACCACGTCTCTCAGGACACCCTCCTGTGTGGCTTCCCTGAATTCCTTTTCTTCAGTGCTGTGAAGAAAGATATTCCTGAATGCTACAGGTCATTTTAGTCCTCCCTCTTTGTAAAGATGCTGCTCTGTTTTTTTGGTGGGAAATTACTGGGTGATTTGTACTCGGTATCTCTTAGGATCAAGGTAAGTACTTCTGTTTGATTTCTTGTTTGGTAAGATAATACTTCCGAACATCCAACTTGATTCAGTTGTACAAATCCGGTAGTTCATTCTGCCGTCATCCTTTTTCTATTAAATAGCTGCTTTTCCCAGAGATTTTTTTTTTTTTTTTAAATCAGGGTTAATCTCCCCAGATGCTTGGTTGTATAACAGCTTCCTGTATGTTAGTGTACAATGCTACGTAATGATTTTCTGAGAATAAGATTCGTGGGTTTTTTAATCACAGAAACTGTCAGCATGGTGGAAATCATAGGAACCCAACATTAAATCCTTCATTTGGTGATTTTACTTTACGTGTTTGAAGTTGGTTTCTGATACAGACCTTGGTTAATTCTGCAGTTTTCTATTCCCGAATAAGACATTTCTCTTTGAAATTGTTCAGATCAGGATCTTGGTTTCTGTATTACTAGAGGTGTAATAGTCAAGGTTGATATGAATCTAGAAAAATCAGTGTATAGTGCATTGGGAGTATACTGGCTATTTTCTAAAAGTAAAATCTTGACAGGCTCTGTCCACTTCTTAGGTCAGCTGCTGTATCTTATCATTGGAGTTCCTGAATGTGGCAGAGAGGTCTGGTGAAAAGAAAATGTTTCCTTCCTATGGAGGCACCACAGCTCTTCCTGCCTGATGAAGAGCAAAGGCTTAGGCTCTGTTGCTGCTACCAGCCCAGCTGTGCAGTCACCCTGTTTATTTTGTGTTCTGGAGAAAGCATTACAAATGTCTCTTTCTGCACTTGGCCCTTGTTTTGTTCCAGGCGTGCTGAGTCAGGACAACAGAATCAGCCCTGTCTGTCCTCTCAAAAGGAATCACTCTCCTGTAAAGTTAACGTTTGGCAGGAGCGCAGTACAGTGAGGAGGAAGAGAAGGGGAACCATGCAGTATCACCAGTACGACGAGTCGCTACAGTGGTATCTTGCTTCCACGCCGCAAGTCCAGTGCTTTGCTTTGGTGTTGAAGTGGAACAAATCTTGACAGTGTGCTTACGGAGGCATCAATGGAAGGGCTGATTGGTCCTAGTGTAGAAAAGAAGCCATGTGATGCAGTGAATGGTTAGCGTGGTGAGAGGGACTTATCAGGGAATTAGTAAACAGGATATGGAATAAATAAAGTTATGACTTCAGTCGCAAGAGAGTTCTGAGCGACCTCAGAAAGTAAAGCAGCACTTTGAATTGCAAATGACAGGAGGATGCTTGAATAAGCAATCTGTGTCTCTCTTGTATCCTTCAGGGAACAGCTCGCTCTCTTGGATGGTTGTGCCTGATTCTGCCCTTACGGGCAATGTTGTGAATAGAGGCATTAAGTACCTGTCAAACAAGGTAGTCTTAATTTGTCTTCTTCCACTTGCAGTATCTCCTTTTATTTCTTGATAGCAGTTGGTGCCATACAAGAAATTCTCTTCAACAGTTCTGATGATTTATAATTCTATATCCTACAAAATTTTGTCCTATTTCTCCTTTTTGTTGTTGTGGTTTTTTTGTGTTTTTTTTTTTTTTGTTGGATCTGACAAAACATTTTCTCGTATTGGTGCTAACCTGTAGGTCATTCCTATCAGAAAAGCAACTAGCAAATCTGTTTCTAGTTGCTAATTACATGTTTGCAAATAATTTCCGTGTATTGTTAGCCTGGTCCATGTAAAACAGCAGTCCAGTGGGTATCCTCCTCAGTGGCCTCAGTGTGTATCTTTGATCTTTATGGTCTTGCTTGCTTTTGGTTAAGCACAGAATGGTATCTTCATTTTTCTCTTCAGAGCACTTAATTGGAGTCTATTCCAGAGTCTCTTTCCACTTAGACTTATAGGTTTAAGCTAGCAAAACATAAGACTTGTATTAGTCCTGTAACAGATCGTATTTTTTCCATGGTAGGTAACAGCTATGAGATCAAAAGTCCTGAATGCGTAGAAATACATCAGACATTGCTTGCCTAGTGATCTTGCACTTTAATTGGCTTCCCACTTAGACATATAATAGTTTTAGTAGAAGCAAACCAAAAGAGATTAATTTTCAAGGAAAAATGCAAAAATCTCAGTCATTGCTTTTGAGAAATGCATCCTCCAGATTGTCCCCATTTCTTTTGCAGCTTAGCGTCTGAATATCTGCATCTTATTTTGGTCCTCTGTAGTGTCAAAATGTTCAACAGTACCAGAAAATGCTTTCCAGCCATAAACATAGTAACTGACATACTGTGAAAGGGGAGAGCTGTGCACTTTTGTCTCTGTGTTTTTCAAAACCACATTTGTCTTTGTTTTTCAAAGGAAGATACCAGAGGAACCATTTAGATGATTATGAGCAGTCTGCCAAAATAGTTTTTTTTTTTTTCCTTACTGCTCTGATGCCAGGTTAAGAGCTACAAAATTGTAGTTATAAAAGGATTTAGAAGGGGATGCAGTGTTATGCTGAACATTCTCAGAACCTGTTTTCCATCGTGTTTGCTGACAGCAGTTGTGTGTTCTCAAAACTACATTTGTCTTTCTATCTTGAAACATCTCCATCGGTTTTTCCAGCTTTCCTGAATCTTGCTTTTTTTTTTTTTTTTTTTAAAAATGTGGCTGACCCTCAGCCACTTCGAATCCATTGAAGTTGATCCAGTAAAAAATTGTGATAAATAACATCCACAGATACATAAATCAGGACAAAATATACAAGCAATCATTTATGCCTCAGGCTCTATGTTGATTGGTATTTGCCTTTATAGGCAGGCAACAATTCACAGATAATCATTCACTGATTTATGTTCTCAGCTGAAGCAAGTAGTGTTTATCATTCTGATCCAATAGGGGCACGTTATACATTCAGTAGGTTAATCTATGGATATTTTAGATTCCTTGTTCTAGGACAGGCCCCTCTGTATCTACACAAAGTCAGAAAGGCAGGATGGATGTGCATTTTTATTTCGTCGATAAAAAAGCTGGGAGTCTTTAGAGGAGGATGCCGATTTTCTTTCTTCATACTAGAGAGGGGAGACTTCAGAAACCTTTAATTGTTCAGTAGTAGGTGGCTGGGGGTTTTTTGTCAAATCAGCAGTAGAAAACAACTTGTAAGTGGTAGCTACTCCTGTATAACCTGCTGTAAGGTCTAGGAGCAGCTACCCAAGCACTGCTGTCTGCAGCTGAGGATTGATTTGCTCTGTGCCTCTTAGGCTCGGCACACTCTTCTTACTCAGGCTGTGCAAACTTTCTATTTTATTAACCGGAGGACTCCAAAGGAATTAAGAATGAAAAAAAAAAAAAAAAAGGTTTTTTTTTTTGTTGTTATTGTACATAATGCACAACATCTGCAACTTATTTCAAGTTGCAGGTAGGCAGTGTGTGTCAAGACAGAATTTTTGTTAGTTTAGCTCTAACTGATTTGTCCTTTTATTAAATTGGCTCACTTGTAGTTCATCAGCCTAAAGATATTTTTTTCTTTAAGCACTTAATGAATCACTGTGCCCACTGAACCTCCATATTCACTGACAACTTGCTCTCACAGGATGAAAGATCTCCTTTTCCCAGAGAGCCACGAATGCATGTCTTCTGTTTGCTTTTCCCGATGGGCAGTATCTTAGCAGGAACAAATCAGGTCGATTTGGCATGCAGATTGTTACGCAAACATCTTGATGATTCACTCAGATATTCAGTACAGCATCATAAAAATAGGGCCGAAGGGGACCCTGGGAAGTAATTAAAGTACCAGTCCATCTATTAGCAGAATCAACTATAGCTATAGCATCCAGTTACCCATTTTATGGATGAAATATTATGCATAAATGGATTATGTTATGCATTAAATAATGGGGTTTTTTATTATTCTCATAGATTTTGAATTTATAATTATAGTTTAGGAAAATGGCAGAAGGAACTTAAAATAATTTTTGCTTTCAGTCTTTCAGGATTTACAGCTATTCTCCAGGATTATTTTAAAGCACATAAAGGATGTTTTAAATCATATTGGTTTGCCAGTGGAGCAAGGAGGGCAATACTTCCACAGGTGACTCTCCATCATATAGTGACTGTCATCATGT